AGCTCTAAGCAGCTGATCTCGATGATCTCTGATTTGTAAGATAAATACTGCACGGGAAGTTAAAATAACTGTCAGAAAACTCTTCACTGTCCTGATGGGTCCAGCTCATACCTCATTCACAGCATTTAGAAATTTACTATTGAATGGGGAATATAATTCAGGAATCATGTTACTCCTTTCATTTTGAACATTGTAACTTACTAAGACACCAGGAAATTCCTTCAGGTACAATTTGGAAACAATATGAAAGGCAAGAGAATAGTGGATATGTCTGAAAACAGAACTTCCTCTGACAATATAAGCCTAAAAGTTAAAAATCTCAGATTTTTGAATGCGCAAAGGTGAAAAAAAATGTTTGGAAAGGGTAAGAACTGGGAACAGAGAGAAATATGTTAATAACATAAATCATCTGCACATCCAGGTTGTAATCATTACTGTGACAATCACCTTCTCGCTCTTCTGTGGGGCTGGAGTGACGACTAAGGGATCTGAACTGCAACTCAGCTGCTATTGAAGCCAGCCGATCATTTTCAGGCACGCTGGAACCCCTGTTAAAAAGAGCCATTGTTCTAATTAACTTCACATTGCTCTAAATAACTACTAGTGACAGTTTAACTGTAGTTTTAAAGAGAAACTCTGAAGCCTAGGACATGAACCATGAAAGTAACATGAAAGAAAAACTGATGATGAGAGGTGAACTGAAAACCCTCTCCATGCTGTTTTTTTCCCTGCAAATTAAGGCTTTCCATATAACTTCAGTTATTCCCTTCTCTGAAAAAAAAAAAAACCCTAAGCTACAAAAGCATAAAGTACTTGAAACTGTTACTTGAATGTAACAACATCCATTTTAATGGCTTGTAACATACTACTGAGACTGCTGCTGCAGGATGCAGCTGGTGCCAGGTTTGGACATACAGTTCGGCTGGGGGATAATGTGAGCCACATTATCAGATGCAGGGTGGTAACTGAATTCATATGCTCCTAGTGTGCTGCAAATACCGTCATAGTCCATAGTCATTAAGACAAAACTAGTGGGAAGAGCCAGTTGACAGGAAGGACAATGTTAAATGACAGCAGCTTGACTACCTCTTCCAGACAGCACAGAGCAGAATTAGAGACCTTAGAATAAGACCCAGATGAATAAGCATGCTGAACAGAAATTGAAACAATACTGAGAAAAATGAGTTTTAAATCCTTAAACCTTCAGGCACCTTTCTCCAGTCCAAGACATTGATCAATCCACCCATGTCATGACTTCGAAGTCTTTCTACAGTAACTTCCTTTTGGACAGGGCTCCCTGCTCCCTTTCAATGTTTAAAGCACGGTGGGGAAGTGCTGTGACTGATGCCTCCTTTAACATAATGCTTTAGAGGTATGAGCTAAACATTACTGGAAAGCAGGGATCACTGTTAAAGCCCTCACTGAAAGCTAACAAATACAAAAAGATGAAAGACACCAGGGATCACAAAGTGAACGCACCTCTGAAAGGACTTCCCTACAGCCCTACAGGTGCTTTTGAATGTATCCAATTATTACCGAATAATAGTTTAAAAAAAAAAAGGAAAAAGGAGAAAAAACACAATCTTCAGTCTTAAGAACAGAGGCCAAAAACCAAGACACCATATTCCCATGTGAATGTTCTCAATCCGATGCCTGCTTTGCACTCCCTCCTACGGCCAACTAGATCTTTTAAGAACTAAAACTGAACTAGTGACAAATCCTCAGTACTCCTCAGGAACTTGAGGCTTCAATCAGCAACAAGGCTAAGGTTGCTCTCAGAACATACACAGCAACAATTCTAGATGCACAAAGAGCTTAGAAACAGGCAAAGCTAAACCACCTCTAAAATGAGTCATCTGACGAACAGGGGACCTTAAGTACCATCATAGCTTTGAATGCTGGTGTCTAAAATCCATTTCAGACCCATCTTAGCCACCTAGATCTTTTATTGTTTGTGTCCAGAAAGATTGTGTGCATGTTATTAAGCAAAGAAATAGAGTAAAAGAGAAGAAGACTTGCAAATTTCTACTCCAGTCCTGGATAAATATAAAATGATGAATAAAAACCCCAGCTAGCTCAGAAATTAAACATTTATAAAGCTCATTATTATGAACATAGTGTAAATGTATAACCATCAGAAAGCTCAATGTAAACAGCCAGCTACTGCTGCTTTGGATTTTACTTTCTAGTTATATTACACTGATTTGTAATTTTTTTTTTTTAAAGAAAAACTTCAATAGAACTATGGTGGCATTTGTGCACTACGCACTGCCTAGTACAACTGATTTCTCAAGTTCCTACATTCAAGTTCCTACATTCAACTTTTTATAGATATTTAATGCCTACAATCATGCCATAAATGTCTAAATATTTTCTGGAAAATGTATACATTTTCTGTTTCCATGCTGTCCCAGCAGCTGGACCCCACACTTCTTGCATACAAAACCACAAAACACCTTCTTGATCCAACAGATTCCATTTCTCTTTTGGAACACCAATAAATGAAAAACATAATTCAGACTGCAACATGTTAAAGTTTACAACTTTCTTTTAACTATATTAAAACCAGAAATTTTAAATAAATATATTTGCCTTCCTCAATATACAAAACCCATAAAAAACCCCAACAGCCTCCAAAACTCTATCTCTGCTTTGATCATTTTTTTCTTTAAATTCTTCCTAGGTAACACAGGAGGTTAAACAATGCTACTTAAAAATACAGGCAGTGCATAAAAAAAAATAAAAATCATGGGATATTTTATTAACAACCACCACAGAAGTAAAAACTGCGAGCTCTAAGAAAAATACGAGTCTTTGAAAAGAGGCCTAGGCCATTCAACTAAAACGCTGTATTCACATCAACTTTCATGTTACAATCCATGAAAGTATTGTGCATTTGATTGCAACTAACAAGTAGAATTCTCATTTCTTTTCTTCCTAATGACTATCTTCTTGAACTAGAAGAAACTGTCAAAATTACACAACCTTCACACTTTGATTAGAATTTCTGTGGAGGACACACATGAAGAAAACATTAAAAGAATATACCGCTGTATTCAACCGTGTCAAATTATAAACCTGACAGTTGCATTGAGTGGTATAAAATCACAACAAAGCCTACAAGTATTAAAAACTAGCCTCCTGTCTCCCTCTTGAAAAATTAATTACCTTCAAAAATATGCCTTGGCTCAAAGTGCTGTACATATTCTAGAAAAAATCCTGTTGTGTAACTAATTATCAAATAAACAAGTTCTGCATTTTCAGAATCATAAATACTAATTAACCATCACCCTGACAGCTTACAAAGGGAAAATTCTCTAGAATGTTACTTACTTGAAAACAGCCTTTCAAGTGTATCATGCTGCATACTACTGCCTACTGTCTTTTTCAGCAGGGGCTTAAAACAGGAGCACGAAGTATATATAATAAATACATGTAGTCTGAATGACAAAAAAAGACCCAGCTTCACAAGCTGTACATCTAGAGGCTACCATAGGATGCAAATCACGTCTTCCCATAAAAATAAACTGAAAAGACTTGCAGGAAAGACGTCATGTAAGAAGTGGCAACTTACTTCCCTTTTAACACCTTAACACATGCTTCTGCTGTCCAGCTGGGAACAAATCTACAAACATGATGGGTCTGCTAGCTAAGAGCTGAAAATCATTTATTAAAAAATAATTAATTCATAATCAAGTCATATCTAAGTTCACTTTGGTCACCATCAGTCTGTTGTTCCTTCACTACCTATTATTACTTTTCTCTATGGCTCTGCAATACAGTCACATCATGTGTCTCCATTCATACGAAATCTCTTGTAGAAGAAAGTTTTTGGTACTCTGCAGTAGAATGCGGAATCGAAAAAGCTATTTATAATCCCTAAGATAATATTATGTGAACAGCAGGATTTTCACTGTCAGGGCTACAGGGGAAGAAATAATAATTTAAAAAAAAAAAAAAATAAAGAGTATATTTAAAGAACTTGGGAGACATAACAATCACCAGACTGTGGTATGGGAAGAAAGAGTGCCAACAGTCTGAAATATAACAGCCAAATCAGAGGCCAAAAAGCATGAAAGATACTAACACAGGTCTGCCAAAAAATTCGCTCGTGACCTCTGCAAACAGACAATACAGGAGTGGTTTCTGTTACACACCCTGATACAAGAGTGGTTTCCTTCATATTAAGTTTATTTTGCACAATCCTAAGAAGCCAAAGGTGTAGCAAGAAATAAAAAACCCCTCCTGAAATCTTACATGTTTAATTCTCTGTTTGCCACTATATAGTATTTCAAGGTATTTATGGCAGGCAATAACAATACTAAAACTGGTAGCTAACATTAAAAAAAAAAATATCCTTGGCCTAATTTGTATGTTACAGTGATCCCAGTGCAAAGCGTTAGTTATCAATACTAATCAGTAAAGTGATACCAATGAACTACTGGCATATGTTAATTTCATGGACATTTTTACAGAGCAAATTTGAAAGCATGAGGTTCTGATATAGATTAAACTGCCATATTGTTCAGACATTTTAAATCTGAAAGCAGTCTTATCATCTATTTCTAAAACATGAGATTTTGCTCAAGTCGAACATGAATGAAGGAGCCAGTGGAAGACACGATGGGACGGAAAAGCACAGTGCAAATGATCTACTAGGATGCAAGTATGCGGAAGTAGCTATATGGGTGATGTCAGTAGAATGAGGCTGCTACGTCATGGAGCGGAGCTACCTGGTATCATTTGCACTGCTGACAGGTTTGGGTTGAGCTGAGTCGCTACCGACGGGAGCGGGGCGACTGACAGCAACGCTGCAATGGTTCCGTGCATCACAAGGGACACTCCGTGTGCTGTGGCAAGAAGAAAAACTTCAGGAAATAGTTAGAAAAAAAATTTCTAAAAAAATGTACGGAGTTGAAAGTTGATTTTAAAAATAAAATTCTGAAGTGCACATAATAAGAACCTGATTTTAAAAGTTTTTCAAGTACATAAAGACTTTTCTGTGGAATAATTCTGGGTCTCAGAAGCTTCAGGAGCTGTCAATATGTAAAATAACAATCTTCAAAATAAAACTCTCCAAATCTTTAGAGTATTACTAGTTTCTGCCAACAGCTAAGCAACTTCCAAAAAAAAAGTGTAGGGCTTAACATTGTGCTGATCTTCTTGAAAAATAAGGCTGTTTGTGTAAAAATGTGCATGATAAAGTTTATTTTTTAAAACTATTTTTGCATTAAGTCTCATGTCAGCTCTTTCAGAGAAGAGCAAAACCACCCATTTTTTAAACTTCTTCACAGCAGGTTGGTGATGATGCAGAAATGCCACCATATTCCAGAAAGCTACATTTTTACGTCTTACCTATACTGAACTACAGAAAGCACTGTCATGGGAATGTATGCAGACATTCAAAGTGGGGAAGGAAATAAGAGTCTTGTTAATGAGCAGTTTTCACTGAATCAAAGCTTGTTACATTGAAACACTGCACCAATAAAACCTGTCAAATGGGGGGGGAAATTAGAAAAATAAACTATATTGTCTTTAAAAGCACATAAAATTCAGAACACTAACACGCTAATTTTTTCTACCTGCTTTGCCCTCCACAGGAAAGAAAAGGTCTTCCACTTACTGACAGTCAGCATAGGCAAGAGAGGATAAACCACTTTAGAACTCTGTACTAATGCTAAATACCTGAAGCCTTCAGGTGTGGGGATAATAAGATGAGGATTTGGTGGATCACTATGGCACCGAGGTACTTTTACAGGACGGGGACTGTTTCGATGAATAGCTGTAAACATAAAAAAGGTAGCACATTTACTCAGATGTCAGAAAAACTCTGTTAGGGCCATTTCAAGACACAAAATTAAATCAAATTCCTGTTTTACAGAGTTAAGTATGAACTGGCATGTATTTTCTTATCCTTTAAGAACAATCCAAACTATTTCAATTTAAAATAAATCAATTGAATGTATTAGTATTATTCATATGACTGTATCATGTAACTCATCTATACAAAAATAAAAATTCTCCAGAGAATTAAAAACTAGCAATTAGAAGATAACGTACTTACTTCACTAAAACTATGCCTTCATTATTTCAACTTGACAGATTAAAGATAATTAGTTATCTTATTGCAAAATAAACATTAACAAACCAAATAACAATGAAAAAGCAAACAGCATTATTATGTTCCTTTTACATCAGAATTAGTTTCCTCAGAAAATAACAGAAAGCCAAATGAGCTGGGAAAAAAACCCCGCATATGGCAGTTATACTAATGGCCCCCATGACAATCTGCCCCAAGGAAGTGGTACCAAGGGACAGGGTCAAACCTAGATGAGCCACTATTGTTCTTGTGACTAGCTCCTTCAGTGCCGGTAAGAGTAGTCTGCAGTCTTCCCCTTCCCGCCTCCTTACTTAGCCAGAAAAACACTGACAGTCACATCACAAGACAGCTGATTACTCATCAAAACAGAGTCAGCACTTTCTGCCAGGCTAGGTTAATCACAGGGGGCTGGGTGCCTTGTTTGCACTACCAGAAGTCAGAGATGCCAGGGCCAGGTGTTGGTTGTCCTGTTGTAATTCACAAGCACACTAGCAGAAGACCCAGAAGGCAGAATTTACCCCACTTGGGTGGACATAGGCTGTTTCACAAAGCAAAAAGACAGGATAAAAACACCAGAAGATCCCAACTACGTGCCTACAGGCAGCACCAGGATGAACACAACTGGAACCTCAGCTTTGGGAAAAGGGGTAAAGATCACAGTGGGTTTAAGTCCCCTCAACATGGTATGCAAATGGAACTAGGAATTCTTATTTTCCCCCTGATATCTGCAATATCTGCAGCCAGGATACAGTTTATGTTTAGCTATGTTTAGCTATGTTTATTTCACATGTACTAAAGTTTCAGCCCACTGTTCAAGTCTGCGCCATATGTCTGTCACCCATGTGCCACTGAGCCAAAAGCTGTCAAGCAATTTAGTTTGTGTGATCTGCTGTGTCTGCAATATAAGTTATAAGAGTTTCAGTTCTTTGGGATCATCATGCTAGTGATTTTCCTAAAACAGGCCTTCCTCTGACCAACAGCATCGAAAGTGAATGTGCAGTGTTTACATCACAGTACAGAACTTGCCTACAATTTATTTTAGACTATGCTTCTTTCCAAAGGATTGGACGGACTTCCATTGTGCAAAGTTTCTCAGCTATAAGAATTTCTCATAAAAATTATATCAAAACTGAAACTTCCCTGAAATACTGAAAAACCTCCTCTTGCCTGAGTCAAATTACCTTCCCTTCACGCCTTCTGCCATCAACCCTGTCCAGGAAGTGGACATCAGGAGAAAGAAAAGAAGACAACGTGGTATTTTGAAAGTTAAATCAGTCAATGGACTTGGGAGGAGGAAAAGGCGAGAAAGAAAAGAAGACAATGTGGTATTTTGAAAGTTAAGTCAGTCAATGGACTTGGGAGGAGGAAAAGGAAAAAGTGCTGAGAAAGAGATATGTAAAAGGGAAACACAGCTGAGGAAACATCCTTTTCTCAAGATAAACAATGAAAGATGTTTATTTCATTCTAATGCCAAAGATTTTTTCACACTACAACAAATTTTCTGATATTGGAGAACTATTTCCCACAGCTCTATCATCAAGCCCCCAGGTGTAACTCCTCTGTACCTCAATAATTATAAAAAGTCCGTCAGAAGTGCCAATATCTGCAGTACCACAATGAAATTTTAGGAGAGGGAGCTGTAACTGCCTCAACATTATAATAACTTCTTTACCCAACCTTTAAAAAAGGAAAATCACAATCCTTTTCCAGAAGATGCGCAAGACTTCACAGGGACTCATGGACAAAACCAGAGGAAAGCATCTGTAAAGCTTTTGAATTTCTTGAGAAAAACCAACATGTATTTACACTTTGACAGGCAATAACGGTTCAACATCAACAATCATGAAAAACTTTAAAAATACTTTTATTGGTATTTCTAGCATTTTAAAATTACTTTACAATCAAAATTCTGTAACAATAGCAGCAAAGCTCCAGAAGAAATGCCAGTAACTTCTGCCTTACCAAGGTACAAACCTGTAACAGGACTGTGAGGCTTTCCAATAACATGGCCAATGCACTCATTCATCAGAGCTTGTAAGCTCTAGAAAAGACAAACAGAAAAAGTTGTGATATTTTATGCTACGAGAAAGTCGATAGAATCACAGAATCATTTAGCTTGGAAACGACCCTTATGATCATCAAGTCCAGCTGTTAACCTAACACTGCCAAGTCCACCACTAAACCATGTCCCTGAGCACCACATCTACAGCCTTTTAAATCCCCCCAGGGATGGTGCCTCACCCACTTCCCTGGGCAGCCTGTTCCAATGCTTGACAACCCCTTCAATGATGAAATTTTTCCTAATATCCAGCCTAAGCCTCCCCTGGCACAACTTGAGGCCATTTCCTCTTGTCCTATCACTTGTTACTTTAGAGCAGAGCCCAGCACCCACCTCACTGCACCCTCCTTTCAGGTAGTTGTAGAGAGTGATAAGGTCTCCTCTCAGCCTCCTCTTCTCTAAACTAAACACCCCCAGCTCCCTCAGCCGCTCCTCATCAGACCTGTGCTCCAGACCCTTCCCCAGCTTCGTTGCCCTTCTCTGGACCTGCTCCAGCCCCTCAATGTCCTTCTTGTGGTGAGGGGCCCAAAACTGACCCCAGGATTCAAGGTGCGGCCTCACCAGTGCTGAGTCCAGGGGCACAATCCCTGCCCTAGTCCTGCTGGCCACACTATTGCTGATGCAGGCCAGGATGCTGTTGGCCTTCTTGGCCACCTGGGTGCATATGCAGCCAGCTGTCGACCAACATCCCCATAGTAAAGCTCACCATAATGAAATGACACTGGTTAAGTATGTAATCTGTCAAGTACCCACACATTCTATCAACTATATTAACCTTCTGGATCAACATTAGGGCTTTGACTTGGTTGATTTTTTTTTTTTTAAAGTCTTAGACTTGCTGTTTGACCTTGTCAAAGTCATGTAACCATAAGAACTGAGAAATCATACATCATAAAGAACATTTCATAATATAAAGTGAATGGAACTTAAAAATATCCAGTGTTAGCAAAATTAAAAATCAAGCTTGCCGGAAAAAGCCGCAACCACCTCCTCTGCTCTCCCTTTCCCCATCCCAAGAAGAGATACCCAAAGAAAATGGGCGTATGACAGCCTGAGTCACAAGACTAAATTCTGTAAAACAACAAATATGAAGCATTGCATATTAAAAGAAATCCACTCCCCTCATCTACCCCTGAAGTTAGCAGAACTTTAATGAAAGGGTGTTTAATAGTAAAACCAGAGAACTGGGGCACAGGCAATCTGAGCCTAATTACTGGGTGTACTATTCACTGCGTATGTAACCTTGGACAAGTTCTTAAATCTTCCTCTGGTTCAATTTAGTTGTCAGAACACAATAAAGAATTAAAATGATGTTCTTAGGTACAGCTCCTACGAAGGCCACTTCTATACACCAGTCATTTAGACTAGTCAAAATTTCTTCCAGAAATTCAGAAACGTAGTGAAGACCAGGAACTTGAAGCTATATTAACCACAAAAAAAATTAAAAAAAGAAAAAAAGTGTTTAGTCTGTGACTGGTATATCTTATCAACCCAGAGTGCGCTAGGATCTCAGGTTTAGATCTAGACTGTCCTTTTTCTGTGACATCAGGCATTATTTAAATAAGAGATTAGGACCGATATACGCATTTCCAGGTGAAATGCTGTGACCTGTGTTATACAGGAGTCATTAATCAAAGTGGCTTCAAGTGATGCCCTCCAAAACTGAAATCCAGTTTAAGAAAGCAAAAGTTAAAAAAATATGCAGTTACTGTTTTGGTTTCCCTCCTTTCCCTCCCAGTTGTTCAAAGTCTGACTTCATCTGAAATAAAACCAGCTCTGAATTCTCTGTACACATGAAACCTCTGTCATAAAAACATTCTATTCGAAGAAGTGCTGTGATATCTTAGTTATCAGTCAACAGAAACAAACTCATGCATGATTGCTTTTTAACTCTCCTTCCCAACAAGGTTATCAATTCCATTTTTTGGACAAAATTAACAGGTTATAATGTCAAAGGCCACATTAGATTTTCTGAGGTTCGTTCTTCCTTAGAAGTTTCCCTCTAAATACTAAAGGGATCTCTAGCAAGACAGTGTTGCAAAAATATACACATATTAATCTTCAGAATACCAGGTGTTTTAGAAACAGTGTCAAAGCAAGTAAAATTGAGGGGCTACTTCCTAAAGCTGAAGTGTTAGCGTATTTCAAATACAAACTTAACTGTGTCATTTAGGCAGATAACCCTTTCCCAACAACACACGCATGGGACTAAAACACAACTTGAGAGCTCTTCATAAAAATATACGTGCAAAAAGTCTAAACTATATAGTTTCTGTATTATGCAAGATTAATGTGGTTGGCATTTCACAACACATCTTGAAATCAATAAAAATCAGAGGTGCTGACACTCACATTCTGCTATTTTGTGGCAACTGTGCTTTCACTTCTCTGTAGTACTGTACCGAGATCAGAGAAATAAATTCTCAGAATTTTATTTCCACAGGAAAAAAGGGAAGGCAGAGCACACAAAAAAGCCAGTTTTAGTTTACTATTTTTTACATAATAAAAACAAAAGAAAGATGCTTTAAAGTCTGTTTCACACTGGCACAATTTGAAGAAATACCTTTAAACAACTGTGATGTTGTATTCATACCCATAAATGAACTCTGAGTACTAGCTAAGCCTCAGAAGCTTATATTCAGAAATTTATTATGACAACTACAAATTGCAATTCTGTTGAAGAGGTGCTGTCAAATCTCCCAAGAGACAAAGGGAGATAGCCTCCCAAGACAGTACCAGCAACTTGTCAGTAATCTGAAACATTCATGTCAATGGTCACAAGCGTACTCTATTCAGAATCTTACAAACTGGAGAGACATCAACATCATCAATTATATATAACAGCAATTGTTTCAGAACAGCATCTGTATTCAGACATAGCTGTATAAAAAATAACCCTGATAACATATACTGATAGCTTCACATGTATTTAGAAGTAAACAACAAGCAGAATAACTTATTCCATACCAAGAAGTCATCTTCTGGGAGAGCTGAAATAAATGCTGGCTCAATGGCTTGAAGAAAATCAAAACCTTGAGTTGCCCACCTATCTCAAAGGAAAAGAAAAGACAGAAAATTAATTCCTCTTTGGCTGAAGTAAACATAAGAGTTTCAACAACATCCAAGAACAGCAAATAGCAGTTACTTGTTTTTCCTCAGGAAAATACAATAAAAATCTTTGTAAGAAAATGGATTAATATATGAGGAACTACATTTAGTTTATATTAATATTTGCCCAGTTATATTCAGATAAAATCCGATTTCAGCAAGGACACTGCCAAATAAAGTGAGCATGCCATGCCATATATCTCCACTCTTGTATGTGCTAGCTTCAGGAACAATATAATCAATTCAGATATTACATGTCGGCAACAACCCAAACCACTATGTCCCTTGCCTAAATTCTCTTTTCTGAAACAAGACCAAAAGAGTACCACCTGCTCTCCCCCCACTACCTCGTTTTAGATGCATTAGAATCAGCAGCTGCAACCTACAAAATGCAAATATAATCATAGGATATCCTGAGTTGGAGAGGATAGGGCAACAAGGAGGGCGCACAGCAAACCCACTACCCTGGATTTCAGGAGAGCAGACTTTGACATCTTCATGGATCTGCTTGGCAGAGTACCATGGGATAAAGCCCTGGAGGGAAGAGGGGTCCAAGACAATACAGGCTGGGAGGAGAATGGATTGAGAACAGCCCTGAGGAGAAGGACTTGGGGGTGCTGGTTGATGAGATGCTCAACATCGCCCGGCAGTGTGCACTTGCAGCCCAGAAAGCCAACTGTGTCCTGGGCTGCATCAAAAGAAGCATTAGCAGCAGGTTGAGGGAGGGGATTCTCCCCCTCTGCTCTCGTGAGACCCCACCTGGAGTACGGCACCCAGCTGTGGAGTCCTCAGCATAGGAAAGACATGGACCTGTTGGAGCAAGTCCAGAGGAAGGCCACGAAAATGATCAGAGGGATGGAATGTCCCTCCTATGAGGACAGGCTGAGAGAGTTGGGGTTGTTTAGCCTAAAGAAGAGAAGGCTCCAGGGAGACTTCAGTACCTAAAGGGGGCCTGCAGGAAAGATGGGGAGGCACTCTTTATCAGAGTGTAGGGATAGGATGAGGGGTAACAGTTTGAAGCTGAAAAAGGACATATTCAGATTAGATACGAGGAAGAAATTTTTTACTGTGGTGAAGATTGTGAGGCAGTGGCCCAGGTTGCCCAGAGAAGCTGTGGATGCCCCATCCCTGGAGGGGTTCAAGGCCAGGCTGGATGAGGCTTTGAGCAACCTGGGCTAGTGGGAGGTGTCCCTGCCCATGGCAGGGGGTTGGAACTAGATGGAGTTTAAGGTCCCTTCCAACCCAAACCATTCTATAATTCTATGATCATCATCAGAGTCCAACTCCTGACACCGCAGTGCCACCTGAAAGTTAAACTCTGTATCTAGGAGCATTTTCCAAATGCTTCTTTAACACTGACAGGCTTGGGGCCATGACCACTTCCCCGGGGAACTTGTTCCAGTGCTTGACCACCCTGTCAGTGAAGATCATTTTCCTAATATCCAACCTGAACTTCCCCTAACTCAGCTTTAAGCCATTCCCTCACATCCTCTCACCAAACACCAGAGAGACAAGATCAGCACTACCCTCTCCGCTCCCCCTCCCGAGGAAGGTGTAGACAGCAATCAGGTCACCCCTCAGTCTTCTCATCTCTGAGCTGAGCCCACCCCTCATAAGTTTCACCTTCATTGCCCTCCTTTAGATACCTTGATAATATTTTTACATTCTTCTTATATTGTGGAGCCCAAAAGCACACAGAGTACTCGAGGTGAGGCTGCACCAATGCCAAGTATGGTGGGACAATCACCTCTTTCAGCTGGTTAGATATACTGCGCCTAATGCACGCCAGGATACGGTTGGCCCTTTTCACCACCAAGGCATATTGGTGACTCACATAGAGCTTACTATCAACCAGAAACCCCAGATCCCTTTCTGCAGAGCTGCAGTCCAACCTCTTAGCCCCTGAACTGTATGTATATCCAGGATTACACCACCCCAGGTGAAAAATCTGGCATTTATCCTTGTTAAATTTCATAAGGTTGGTGACCAGATTGCCATCTCCAGATTGCCAAGATCATTGACAAATAACCGAGAGAGGTCTCGCAATAATATCACCCCACTTCTTCAGTACCTTGGAATGTATTCCATCAGGCCCCATAGACTTGCATGAATTCCACTGCAGCAGCATATCATGTACAAGTTGAAGTTCAACTAGGAGCTTATCACTCCCCTAGTCGTGGTCCTCCAACCTGGGGCTCCAAGTTCCCATGGCCCACCATGAATGTTAAAGACAGAAGCAAAGGAGGCATCAAATGTCTCTGCTTTATCTTTGTTACTATTTGTGAGATGACCAATCTCATCAAGTAACGGACCAATGTCGTCTTATATCCTCCTTTTGCTGTTAATATACTTAAAGAAGCCTTTGAAGTTGTTCTGGTTTTGGGTTGGGGTTGTTTCCATTTGTTTTTTAAGATTAGAATACCAAGCTAACTTAGCCTATCCACACATGGTTCAGCCTACCTACTCTTTCCTCGTCTTCTTCCAGCAAGCAGAACAAACCACCTCTAGGACAAACTCATCAGCCCCTATATATATACACCCATTAAGGAAACAAAACTGCCACTGATGTGCAGTCTGCTAGCACAGATCAATACAAGGCACCTATTTTAATGCAAAAGAATTCTACTAGATTTCTGATACACCATCTGCAAAATGCTGCAAAACCACCAAAATAAATCAAGTAATGGTATCATTCTGCTTGGGACCTAGTTCCTCTGTTTGCATCCTTAAGTGATGTAACTAACTTTTATTATCAGTGCCTAACAGCAGAGTTTCATAGCACAGACTAAGCACAATTTGAGAGACCACTGGGCACAACACTACTGTCAACAGAGAGAGAATACTTCAGGCTACAATAAAAAAACCGTACACAAATGCATCCATTACTGCAATCATAAAACTGAAGAATTTTAACCACGTTGGAAATGCTCCTTCATTTGTGGGCCACCCTTTTGATGTTTTCAGAAAGGACTAATAGAAGGACTTCTACAGAAGGCTAAAGCTTCCATACATACCTCATTTCCTCAACCGACAAAAAACAATACTCTGTTCTCTGTAGAAGACCCAGAGAATGACTGTTGCATACTCTGCAGTCTTCACTGACTCCTGATCACATACTGCTTTTGTTCCAACCTAGTGAGCCTTATCTAAAGTTTTTTAATTGTCTGGGTCCAACAATCTCCACTTTTTCTTCCCATTTTCTGTCAGCTAACGTGAGGCAAAACATTCCACAAAATCTTCTGCTAAGGAGTTGGAGTGTTCATTTGGCTTTATGTATTTACTATTCAAATTACTTTCAAAATTTAAGAGCCAGAAGCATCAACAGTTCAGAAGAACTGCTTCTCAACAACAAAACATTATTCATGGTTTGAGAAGTCCTGCATGGTATTTAAACACAAACTACTATGTCAATAACTTGTTGGCTGTTACCTGGGTCGCGTGCCTCGGCCACTCTCACATTTTGTTAGCACATAATTCATCCATTTTCTGGCAAAGCTGATATACTTGTCTCCAATTTTCTGCCTGAATTCTCCAGACATCAGACGAACAACTTCTTTATGGTACTGTAAGAAACTAAAGATTACTCTTCACGTATTAATAAAGAAGAACAAAAAATATCCACTGGAGCAATTGCAGGCTAACAAAACTCTACAGTATGGTAATAGTCACATCCTATTCTTAGACAAAATTATTTCATACAAGTAGTTGCATATTTATAGAAAAAAAATAACGAAAAAGTATATGATACAAAATGTGTTCTAGTGAGAGGCAATATTTGAGCCATATTGCATTCTCCTGCATATATGGGCATGTGCTAATGTTTAACAGTGTACACATCATTTAAGAAACATCCTACATATAAGCTCAGTTCTGTAATCAAAATGGAATGCAAAGTAGTCTTTATTTTTTTGCTACATTGCAAGGCAACATTAAGGAATAAAGATGTTACATATGCACTTTAAAAAAATTAAACAAAAATACCAGCTGGTTTTTAGAAGATGATCCTTAGAAGTATGTTACAGTATGATACAATCTTAAACAAATTTTACAAAGCTCACAGGAATCAGTGAACAGTGAAATAGTGAAACAGTATACTAAAAGAATCTGAACATAACATTTCCTCATCAGCACTCTAAGGCAGGCACTCAAAAGCCATATTCACTGCATCAAAGAACCACCATAAACTTTGAACAAATGGCTCATATTACTTGCTATTCTAGGCTGAAAAACTGTAAGAAGACAAGTTACAAAATGACATTCAATATCAAAGGATACTTCTGATTTAATCTAAAATGCTGCCAAGTAGCAGAGTCTACAAGACTACACCTGAATTCATCAAGCTTTTTAGAGTTTCAGGTGTTGCTAACAGGAGTCTGAACTTAATACAGCTACCTGTACTTTTTCAATCATTTTCACATTTCTGTGGCAACACAAATTTTTTACCATATTCTGCTAGAATTATTTGTACTTCCACAGAGTTATAGTTACCTTATTAGCACCAAATTTCAACTGGTTCTTAACAAAACTACAAAACAAATGTGTTGTTAAGTTTTTATTTCCTTACCTCAAAGCCAAAATTATAAGCCTGGATCATGGCTTCCCGGTAGTATTGCTGCAAAGTGGCAGATTCAGATTCATCAACTTCAGCATCAAACTCAGATGTGAACATGTGATCGACTCTATCAATGGCACTGCTTATCTTATTGCATAGCTCTAATGCATCACTCTGAGTAACAACAACAAAAAGAATGGGGGGGCACCTTATTATTATTTATATTATACAGTTGACAAGACTAAAGCAAACATGAATCTAACAATTACATTATTTTAAATGGAAATGCACTTTAGTGCCATCAGAATGCATTCAGTCTTGGAAAAACAAACACTCACAGCAGTTGCATCAAGCAAGTCTTATAATTAACTGAAGTATTATAATTAAGTTTTTTTGCTTGAGTGAGATTAACTTTAAAAACAAAGACAAAGAAGGAGGAAAACAAACAAACAGAAACACCCAATCAAAATCAGACAATAACAGAGAAAATGAGCTTTACTATCTACAACGTGACCAAGCCTTTGGTTGTATTTTCACCCTAGTATGTGGGCACAGCTTCTATTGAACTCGGGGAGAAATGTTGGGATCTGATACTACAACTTCAGCCTAACAAATCTTTGCTTTTCTGGGTCCTACAAACAACCAACCAACCAAACAACAAACCCCCAAACCACCAAAGAAAACCCACATCCAACAAAAAAAACCACCACTACAACCATAAAAAAAACCCCACAACAGAAACAAGAGAAAGCAGAGAGAGACCTACCCACTTTTACATCACAAAGCAGCCATCATCTCCAAATATGGGGAAAAAAAAGTTGTTGCTGGCAGATCATGTATTTTTGATAGAATTTATTTTTATGAAATCAAACTCTTTCAATTCAATAGTGCTCTCGCACAAAGATATATTTAATTCTGTTGCTATTAGTATTTCTATTGCCTTATGGACCTCCTTCCCACTTATCCAGTGCAAAAATGATTACACCAATATTGCTCAAAAATACACTCACAAATCCTTTGAAAAAACTGAATGAAAATTGTACTGAAAGTAAAGCCCATAGAGGCTGCATACATTACAATTGCAGAATACGTCATTAGCATTGTAATCAGGTCTCCTTACACATTTTTACTTACCAGTGACCAAAGCATAATAAATTTTGACCGAAATAATCTCAAAAACTGCTTACCTTTAGCTGTTGTAGAGCTTTGGCGATGACTGGTTGGCTGGATGTCTGTTCCTGGCACAGAGATATAAGCCCTTCAATAGACTGCTGGAAAGCTTTTCTCTGACTCACAAGGTGGGCAGATTGAATAACTACGAGGAGGAGGTTATCAACCTAGGAATAAAAGATACCACTAGTTCCAATAAAAAAAAAAATCCTCTCCATAAAAAACATGTCCAGTATCAGCAAATTCCAAATGGTTATTTTTTCTGTTCCTGGCACAGAGATATAAGCCCTTCAATAGACTGCTGGAAAGCTTTTCTCTGACTCACAAGGTGGGCAGATTGAATAACTACGAGGAGGAGGTTATCAACCTAGGAATAAAAGATACCACTAGTTCCAATAAAAAAAAAAATCCTCTCCATAAAAAACATGTCCAGTATCAGCAAATTCCAAATGGTTATTTTTTTATTTCTAAAATCCTCTCTATAAAAAACATGTCCGGTATCAGCAAATTCCAAATGGTTATTTTTTTATTTCTAAAATATGAAAGACCGCTCTTGTTGCTATTCATGGAAATTCACATAGAAAAGCTTGATGCTGGCAACTGAACTTGATTTCTTGTTGCTATTAATGGAAATTCACATAGAAAAAAAAGCTTGATGCTGGCAACTGAACTTGATAAACTCTCATCTTACAAGCAGAGATTGATTAGGGCAAATGCCACAGCAAGCTTTCAAGGGGAATATACTCCTATCCACTTCTGGAAAGGTTTGGGAAACACTGTACTAAAATTCTTTTCTAGAATAGTTATACACAGAAAGGCAGTATCTAAGCAAAATAATCCTATTTTCTCAAAGCAGACGAAAGTAACAACCGTCATGTAAATAAGCAGGTTTCATCCAGGTAATGTAATACACTTCAGGACAAAAACCTACTATTGAACAGGGAAAGTCATAGATTTACCACACAGTAGTTGCTCAAATTTTGAAAATTATTAAAATGTAAGAATATGTTCTGGAAACCAGAGCTATGATATTGCAGAAGTCTATAAAAGCACACAGTCACAGATGGTGTTGCCTTTGCTGTGGCACTATGAGTCACGTACTAAGCTCCGTTGATTTCAAACTACATACAATGTATCTGCAACAAGTTACTCACAAAACAAGACCTTCTTCATCCAGCTTTTCAATACATCATTCCCAAAGAATATTTTCATGCTCAAAATTCTTTAAATGTTGATGGAATTCTTCTATTTTATGAATATTTTTTTAAATAACATCTCACGTTTTCCCTAGTTTGCAATCAAAACATGGTTTTTAAAAACACAGGACACAATCTTTCTGAAGGATTTTTTAATTCCTAACCTTGAAATACTGGATTTCAAACAATTAATAAACAGTTATATGCATGTGAACGCATACACAAACACACAGTGCTTTATGTGCATTTACATATGTCAGACAGAATACCGTTTGCTAACCAAATTCCATCTTTTGCTGGTTTTACTTTCTGAATGAAATGCTAACTTTGATAGAAGTCCAATGCAATTTTAAGCACTTAATGAGAGACTATTCTTTTATTGTGCAATCTGGACAACACACAAAAAGAAGTGACATGCTTGCATGTGAAAAGCAGCAGGATGTACAGGAGTGACTTTTTCAGCTCCCTGTAATTGCTAGAGCCCTCTGAATGCTGGAGGCCAGGCACAGTGTCATGGAAGGTCACTCTGACTGTGGACAGCAGAGCTCATTTATGGTAGGGATCCAAGGAAGTGCAAGACATACCAAAAGGAAAAATCACTTAGCTTAACACAAGGATTTGAGAACAGGAGGGGCAGGGAGCTGCAGCTGGCTCAGTTGCTAGAGTGTAGCAGAACTGCTGGCAGGGAACCCTGTTGGCTTGGGATGATGGAAAGTATGACTGGAAAGATTTCTTCCTGTAGAACTGTTGAACATGCAGTAGCTTCCGCAGAAATTTAACTTTGAATGTCACAATTCATCCAAGACTGAAAATATCTGGTTTCATGCCTCAGTGTATGGACAGCACACAGCCGCCACACATTCTTGCACACTGGCGACTCCTTAACAAAACGTACAGTTTTCAAGTCCTATCCACATTTCTGATACTGAACACCCAACTAGATATTGAAAGTATCTCCTTATAATAAAAGGCCAACCCTGAAAAATGCACACTGTAGAGATTAATCCTTTCAAGAAATGCTAAAATTCATTTAATTTAATGCCTGCATTAACACAAGTAAGAATCAGCCCTATCCTTGAATTTAACTTTTAATGACATATAAAAGGACACATGCCTAACATAAACTACTGTGGTTAATCTGAAAGGATAGGCATTTTAAAAAGTGCGGAGATCACAAAAATGGGAGAAAAACAACCCACCTGCATGGTGCGCAGTGTATCAACAGTCTCTACTTGTGGCACGACTTTGACTGGCTGACCCTCCCATGCACTCCAGCTGTCATCTAATTCATGGTCTTTATCACTGTGTTTGGTCATTAGTAAATAGGCCTCATATGCAACCTCATCTGAATCCTTTGAGCAATCTTTTCCAGCAGCTGCATTGAGGAGCTGCAAAATCACTGATTTTTCCCCTGCAATACTATTTGGTACAAATACTTGTAAACTTTCGAGTCCAGAGATTTGTACCTGTAGGAAAAAAAAAAATAAATATGGAATGAATGACTCTCACCGTCATTTATGACACATAAATTAGATAATATATATATATATAATCTAATTTAAACAACAGGGAGATTTTCCATCTTAAAGAGCTGTACAATATACATATTAAAACAATACATGCAGCCACTTTTGCACTAAAAATCAAAATGCATAATAAGTAATTAATTGTCTTGAAAACCACTAGATCATTAACTTGCAGTGACATCTTTCCTTGCACCTCCAATTGATCCTTCTAAAGGAATCTTGCTACAAAAAAGTCAGATTTCACATGTATACTAGATATGTGTGCATTATGTACATATATAATAAATATACACATATTTTAAAAAGTAAATTAGTCAAGACTAATTTAAGACTTATGAAGCACATACTTCATAAGTCTTACATACTTCATACATACTTTTAGGACTGGAACACTAAATCAAGAAAAATTCCTTCAGGATCTCTAAGAATCCACATAGCATTTCTCATTGGCTACAAAAGATAAGAGTAAGCAAAAATATGGCTAAAAAGTATCAGTTATTCTTTTACTATTCATGAAGATAGATTAAGTCAAATAAGAGTGTTCTCTTTTAATAAAATACTAGTTACACTACTTAAAAACTACTTCTGCACTCCATCTGTCACATTGGTAACAATACTTCAACCAAGTCAGGCATCAGAACCAGACTGTGAAAACAGTAAAATAATTGATAGCTTTGATTTGACAAGAGCTAACTGACTTACAGTGAAGTTTAATTCTCTCTTTTCAGAGTCTGATGTCATCAAACTAAGACAAAACACTGGACTCAACACTTTTACCATTAGGCTGCCATATTTTATAATTACAACCATTATAATCTATATGTCAATGTAAAACTAGACAGCTGTTACCGAAAGCTAAAATAGTTTCCTAAACTAATGAGCATCTGATTGAAAAGGCTATTAAAAATTTAAACTCCCTACATGATGTTAGGGGGCCCATGGATGAAGTGATAACCACCAAAATGTGTGTCATTTTGAGTGGTGACAAAAAAGAGAGGTAATACATAGAGGCATAAATCCAAATCATCTATCTAGACTATTTAACCCATGAGCTTACACAGGATTTTTCAAACTCAAGATTCAATTTTTTCTTCAAAACACATACATATGAACAATGATACTACTGTTAGCTAAAAGGTCTCCCAAATTTAATGTTGTGTCTTAAAGAGGCCAAGAGTGGATACCTGGGGAAAAATATTTTTTAAAAGTAAACAAATACTTATTTCCCTTACTATTCTCCCACCCTTAAACAAATCACAGACCAGTGTCCTGCTGAGCTAGATGTTCCATCCATGTATTTAACAACGCTTTCTGAACTTCTCTCCTATGAACTTGTCAGTCTCCCCTTGAACCAATCTCTCCTTTTAGCAATCATTTACATAAATCTAGCAAGAATTTTGTCATGCAAAAGAGAGTAAATTATTTCCCAGTTAGGAATTATATCTATTAAATGTATGGCAGGACAAAATAGAACAGCAGATCCCAATAAATTTAATCTGTTGAAGCAAGTGATTTACTTAAATTCAAACTACAATACAAACTGCAAGACTTCATGACCTAGGAATTAAGGAATAAAGTGCAAAACCACAAATGTGGGAATTTATAGCACAGTAAATATCAGCCACTGAAGGTTAAACCTACTTTTGCGGTACAACAGTTTTCTAGTAACAGTTATTCAGGAACAGTACACAGTCCTTGCATTTCTCACATCGTTAGTACACTCAGGGAAGCTCTGATGTATGTTTACCTCATAAACCTTAAAGAATTTATTTTTCATAACACTCCCTACTAAGTGTTATTACTCCCCTCTCACAAATCAGTAAGTACTATTGAAGCAAAATGGCTTTTCCTAAGCCACAAAGAGAATCTTAGGGAAGACAAGGAATTAGACACTGATTTTCCAAAGCACAGACCAGCATTCTCACTCACACAAACCCAGGCACAGAAAATAATTTGACTGCCACAATTCAATATTAAATACATGACATTTTAAAAGTTGACATAAAGATGTCACATTGAAAAACTGAAAGTATGCTAATAAATACCCTTTGACATTTTGCTTAGCATCCCCACTCTACTTTCACGCCTCTCAAATGAATTTACCTTCACATACTCTTTTGTTTTCAGAGCGTTCAGAAGATCTCGCACAGGAGCTGACAATGCAAATTCTGCTGCTATTTCAAGGTCCTACAAGTAATGACAAAAGAATATGCTTTCAGACTATATTTCTTTAGAGCATATAAGTAAGATGAGACACTACTGTTAACTTACCTTCCTCAGCATTTTAGCAAAACCAAGAGCTTTGGAGGCTCTTTCTCTAGCTTCATGAAACAGCTCTTTGAGTGCTCGGCTGGTCTCTATAACAGACCTCCTGAAACATTGGCAAGAATAAAGTGACAATGTTTTAATAAATCATATTGCATTTATATAGCTATTAGAAAATAATAATTATTTACATACATGTCAATAGAAAGAACATAGAAAAGATAAACTTTTACAAACAGCTGACAAATAAACTGAACTTGTGCAGGCACATTTTTGATAAGGATACAAAAACTGAACTTAAAAATGTCACACAAACAATCTCTCTACCCTGAACTAAAAACAAGGTTACTAGGCTTCAAACAAACAAAGCAATGCTACATTACTACTGCAAACGCAAATATCAGCAATAAAGTTTATGGAGTCTTGCGTTTACAAAGTTTTCATTGTAAGAAATAAAATGCAGTATGTACCTGTCAGGGGCATAGAAACATGAGTATGTGTGTTTATTAAGCTGAAGGGCTTAATACCTGATTTCATCTGATGCAGTACTGTCATCAGCACTGGCCCAAAATTCATCACAACTGTCTTGTAGTCCAGAATCTAAAAACATTCCCGTAGATTTCA